TGACCCGGATTTTAGACGCCTTAAATTTGGGTCTAAGGTTGATGAGGTCATTGGGTTTGTACAATTCCACACCGCATTTTGGAAATACTGGGTGTGGAATAAGCTTCTTGATCTTTGTTGGAGATTTCTATGTTGGATTGATGAGGCGTATTAAATTAACACCCAAAGCTGTAAAACTTTCGAAAGATCGTTTAAAGAACACAGAGCAGCTGTTATGCTGTAATTCATGTCTTTTTCATTCTTTTTATTTTGTTAGTAGAGTTAATAGAGTTATTAAATAACTTTATTTAATAATAATTGTAATGAAAGAAAAAAAACACCTATATTTTTAAATATAAAAAATAATAAAATTTAATGTGAAACTATAAAAATAAGTTTGAAAAATTATTGATGATTATGCAACAAATAATTTTTTTTAAATATTTTTTACTACTTTTTTCCAAAAGGAATCTTTTTTTATAATTTTTATAAATTGTATATTATAATTAAATTAAAACAAAACGAGCATCTTTATGATAAACGTAATCAACAAATTTCAAAACAATCAATGTGTATAAAAATGTTTCGAAACACTAAGAATACCAACTTTGTTCTAATGATCAATAAAACCAAAAAAATATTGTATAAATAACTCAATAAAAATTGTTTAATTCAAATAGTAATACTTCTTCAAACGAAGTTTTAAAGAAGAAATACTATTATTTTATGATTATAATAATAATAAGACTTCAATTATTATAATTTAAATCTCTCGTAAAAAGTCTGGCTTAAATGATATAACTATATTCTAATATAAACAACTATATATTATTGGTTTCTATATTTTTTATTATGATTTATAAAAATATCGAGCAGAACAAAGTATTCAATTATTATATCGATACGCTTTTATTAAAAATCAAATCCTGAAATTATACATGTAATACACAAAAGTAATGGCTGTGATGGTTCTAATTGTGTTTTCACTTTGACACTTTCACGTGGATAATAATTCAAGTTACTGGTGGATAAATAAGAGACAAGCTGCTTTCAACAATTTTTGCAAATTGTTGGTAATTTGAAAAATGTATCAAGTTCAAATTTGTTGTTTTAACTCGGTTGCCTTAATTGTTTCTTTTGCGTTTTTGATAATTGAATTAAAATGTATTGATCATATAACTGACCAAATGATTTGTATGATTTTAGTTTCATTGTCTTTTATGTTTGCTAAATCATCATTTTAATTACAAAACAAAGTGCCAATGCCAATAACTGTTTTGGTATAAATTTCAGTGATCTTTTGCGATAATGTTTTGCACTCATAATTATTCTTGTCATCTATAAGAACTGAACTTCCCTTAATCCATAACAATTTAATTACTTAATTATAAAATAAATATAACTTTATTTATACTAATAATTCAACAAGTTAATTAATAAATACTATATTATTTTAAATTGATCAATTATTATAATCATTAGTTACATACACATTAATTATTTTTCAAAATTTTTTGTTTAACAACAGTCATACTTAATTAAAGTGTTGTATATTTTGTTGATGTTAAACAACGATTTTTAAAACAAGGTCTACAAAAAAATACTTAAAAGTAAGACATAAAAACAAATATCAAACAACAAAGTTTTAAAATAATCTTTTTTACAAACTTCTTAACACTTAAAATTACTCCATTGTTTTTTTGATTCACCTATTATAATTGGGAAATTAATTCAATTTTTTATGATTATAAACTAAAAAAAGAAATTCTGAAGTGGTTTACTTATAAAAATTTAATCAATTTATTGAAAAAAGTATTCTAAATAATTTATACCTAAAATTAAACTATATTGGGTTTTTTGACTTTTTGTTGATTAATAATAAAACAAAAATAGACTAGAATAATAAATAAAAATAAACAAAAATAAAAATTGCCTATATTTTTAAAACAAAACAACACAAGATATTTTTGTTTATTTTCATAATTATATGTCGAAACAGTAGGCATAAATTAATTTAATAATCCCAAAACAATTTAACATTATAAAAATAATAGAGTATAATATAACACAACCTGATATCAAGTAAAAGTATTTTTATTAAAACTGTCGAATAATAGAGTTTTATTTATTAAACACACAAACA